AAATAAGTGAAAAATGTTTTTCTCACACCCTACGGGGGCCTGGGTATAGCCTTAGGTCATGTGACCTGTGGGGAAGGCTGTTGCTTCTGTTGCTCATTCGAAGCTGGGTGCTTATTAACTTTTACTGCCTTTAGGATGGGGTTTATTTGAGGTGGGTGCTAATTCGAGGTTGGGCGCTTGTTTGTATAAATATGGTAATGAAACCTTTGCATGTATTATTCAACAGAATCCAACCTGTCCATAAACTTGGTAGTAATTCATTGGAACTGTTGTCTCCTTAGCAAGTTCCTAACAAAATGAAAGAAAAATGATAATTTTACAATCACCACCAAGAATAAGCTAGCTATCTACTAGAAATAATATCTAGTAATTATTACCTTTTTTATCTGGTACAGTAGTATTTTATGAGTCATTTGTATGTACTTTCTCCTCTCCATTTACAATTTTTCGCACAGGTAAAAATGAATAAAATGTTTTTCAATAAGATCACACTATAATCTTATTATTGAAAAGGAACTGAATTATTTTATTTCGTTTTTACAAAACATATAGAGCAGTCATTCTGAAGAGCTGATTTATTTGGACATGTAATTTGGAGTTAATCCTTCCCTCACTGATACCGTAGATATTATACCTCATTCTTTTTCTTGTTAAGTTCTGATTTGTCCTTCAGTTCTCGACCCCACGATGGTGAACCACAAAGATTTGTTGGTCTTTCTCCAAAGGTCTTTATAACTGCTCCTACAAGCTAAAAATAGATGACACTAGTGCTGTCACTTGTCGATTATTACAGTTAGGGCCAATAAAAAAGAAGATATTTGACACATTTAATCAATATTTGAAAAAACATAATTTCATTTTGAAGATATTTCACCGCATAATTAATGTCCCTTTGATAACATTAGTGATGGGAATTAACTATTAAGTGAACACACTTGGATCAAATATGTAAAAGAAAGGTAGGTAATTAAAAGTCTGCATATGAGCCAAGTGGCTCATCAGGCCGGAGCTTATCTCGGTTCCTATAGCATGAAGTGACTAGGAATTTTGCTACTCCCCCCTTGATGGGATGCTAGTCCATTGCAGGGTTACCCCCAGCATTAAATTCACTGGTAGCCATTTATACACCTGGGTAGAGAGAGGCACAAGGCAGTGACAATGTACCTGTTCTGCTACACTCTTCAAATCTCCTAAAAGTGCAACCTCTGCAGAAACATTGTTTTCCATTTCCTCTGCATGAAGATCAATCTATGGGTAACAAAAAAATTCACTAGTAATTTAGATATTAATTTACAATTACCAGACTTCAACTGTTTTTACATGTTTATACACTAAACTTGAACTTCTCTTAAATTTATATTAAAGCTAACTTAATAATTATAATGTACTATCGAGAATATAATATTTGATATGTCATGCAGAAATTAATCTCAGTCTAGAGGAGAGATAACACTTTATCAATTAACTAGAAAAACTGTCTTCTTTGAACAATCTAAATGTCCAATACCTGGATTATTTTAACATCAGCTTTGAACCTCGGAGGTTTCCCAAAATGCAGAATCCAGTTTAATCTTGCTCCAAACAGAAATATCACATCAGCTTGAGACAAGGCTCTGACAAAGAAGAAAAAAACAAACAAAAACAAACAAACAAAACAATTCATGAACAACAATCTTAAGCAATTGCTCAATAATATATCACTCCTTACATGTATATGAGCTTGGTTACACTGTTGTTGTATTGTATCATATCAATCCTGTACAGGTGACTGTGGGCAACATTAATAGCTGTATGGAAATTTCGGGAGAAGCTACATGGAAGCATGAAAGACACAATTTGTGGAGAGACCACAAAGGATGCAATGGCCTGTATACACCTGTAACCTTTGCATGTGTACATTCAACCTTGTTCCTAGGGTCTCTAACAGGGTAGGGAGGAGGGTTCTAATCCTCTCTCACTTGAGGGGGTTGGAGGGTTGGGAAGAAGAGAGCCCCTTGATACAGTGTATGTGGTTGTGCACGCATTGTGCTTGTATGACACTAGGAACTAATAAAATGTACTTTGATCTGGCTGCTGCAACACACAGGGGATGTTCATCAGAAATCACTCCCTTCCCCATGGGTGTGGGGAGAAATGGTAACTTGCATCTCTGAACAAACTCCTGAAGAGGCTTCTCAGCATGTGCATAAGCTGCACCTGTATAAAGAAATGAAATCAACTGTATAAAAAATAAAACATGAAACACAGTCAAGACCCTACCACAGTAAAATCTAACTTATGAGCTGCTGCCATGCCTCTAAACAGAAATTACATTGTATCTTTTGTGTATTTACCTTTGCCAATTATTGCAAGAGGCTTCTTTGCTTCACTAAGAACCTTGATTGCTTTTTCCACTGCAGATGGATCTGCAAGACACTTTGGAGGAGCTGGAGAACGACGAATTGACCTTTGAAGAAAATAGTATACCCTGTCACTCAAACCTGAAAGTATCTATTAAACTTCCCTCACTAATTTTCATACAGTGGAACCTGCTTTACTGCCACCCAGTCAATATGGCTATCTAATTATTATAGCCACTTTATTCTGGCCCAAACAAAAGCTCAGTCTCACTCAGTCATTTCCTTATTGAATTTCAAAGAACCTCTTCAATACAACCACCCTGTTAATATGGCCATATTTTCGTGGCCTGTTGGTGACCGGATTAATGGGGTTCCACTGTAGTTACATCCCTGACTTGACACTAGTTCTGGAAATTTGATGATATCCTCAAGTTGATGATTTTCTGTAATATTCTCATGAGCTTACTGCCAGATACCAAATTGATATTGTAAGGAAAAACTAGATGTTGATCACTCTTGAGAATTAACAAGTTAGAAAATTGGTGCACATTTTATACTCTAACAGTTTATAAGTCACCTTGCCTTACAGGCTGCCACTTTCTCTGTGATCATATTTCCTGGCAGGTCCAGATAACTAGCTCCTGGTCTACCGTATATAGTTGTTCGCACAGCCTAGGAAACTAGTGAAAATTAGGTAGAAATCTATTATCAGGTTTAATTTGATTGTTCCCAAGAGTGACTCCTCATTAAGGACTTTTCTTTTCAGAAAATGCAACATTCTAATGTGTACTATGCAATTCGCTGAATAAAACAAGAAAGGTAACAAATTAATTTTTCATAATTTACTGCTCCAATTCACAATGACCGTTCACCTTTTCAACAAAGAATGGTATCTCGCCTGCACAGCTTGGTCTTGCAGAATACTTGGCATAAGGTCTTGCTGCTTCAACCTGGAACAATTTGCAGCAAATTTATAACAATTATGTTGTAGATATTAGATATTTGTAGATACTTTTGAGGGAGGACTGTGATGGCCTAATGATTAGTATGGTGGACTCTGAATCAACTGGTTAAGACTCAACCAAAGGCAAGGGTTGTTGTGCTGTGTTCTTAGGCAAGACACTTTACTCTTGCAAAGCCTCTCTTGTCCCAGGTGTATTGATAATGGGTACCGACAAATTTAATGCTAGGATGTAATCACTGTGATGATCTAGAATCTCATGCAGAAGGGGAGTAGAAATATTCCTAGTAGCCTCACACTATAGAAACCAGAGATAGCAATGGCCCCATAGTCATCATCAAGTTGTGATGCAGTTACATTAAGATATGCCACATTTGGAGAGGACTCAAGAAGCTAAAGAGTTGATGCTGGCTCTGCCTCAAGCAACTTTTGCACTTCTTCTGTGCTCTTGAAACCTCCTGCATGCATCTAAACTGATCCATGGATTACCGCTTAAGCATGAATTAAATGTTCCAGAAAATCTAACCCAGATATATGTTCCCTACACGTATGACAGTCAAGCTATAATTATAATTATCATATTTATTTAAATATACTTCTGTACCTGTGGAAATTCCTGAAAAGCACCCATGCTTTCTTGATCAACATCACTTGAACCACCAATCACTAAAACTGGCCTGAAGACAAAACACCAACAATATAAATCGCCATTATCTACCTGCCAACTCTCATGGCTTAGGCACGAGTGACAAACTTGTCAGTCTCCTGACAAGTTTGTACAAGGTCCCATATAAAGTGCACAGTCTGAATAATATTTTGCACACTAACCAGCAGTTACTCATGGCATTTGCCATTCCACCCAGGGCATGTATTAATCCTGGTCCAGAAACCACAAGGCAAACACCAGGTCTGCAACAAAAATCAAAAAGTTCATTTTACATTGTACACTGTTCAAAGGAGATGTAATAAGTATTAAAATGATTTACAAATCAATACAATTAATTATCAGGGTAAAAATAGAAATATATAACAGAGCAACAAATAAGAAAGTTGTTGATGAAAGGCTGGCCACTTGGAGATTAATAAATGTGATGACTAATAAGCAAATAATAAATACTTAAAACTCACGAGCAATAAATAAAGCATTACTTTTATTGCTCATGTTATGAAGCAGCTATCACAAGCCAGCAACTGGTGCTGTGAGAAAAGAAAAGAAATTAAAAAAAGAAAAGGGACTGAAACACAAACAGTTCTACTAAGAGAACACACTGGACCCATTGATTAACTCAGTCCAAGACTGCCAGAGAGTATTAATAAAGTACTAAGTCTACAAAATATCTCACCTCCCAGTTAGATATCCAATAGCTGATGCTGCATAGCAAGCCTGTAGACAAGACAGGGAGATAACAGCCTTGTAAAATTAATTTATCAGGTATGTACATAGCATGCGCAGTCTACTTTTCTACAGGAAGTCCCTTGTTTTAGCCCATGCCTCTATAACTACAGTATTATTACTAATGGCCCATCC